TGCAATAGTTCTTGCACTAAAGATCCTCATGGAAATACGATCATACAATAGTTCTTGCACTAAAGACCCTCTTGGAGATATGGTCATGCAATAGTTCTTGCACTAAAGATCCTCATGGAAATACGATCATACAATAGTTCGTGCATTAAAGATCCTCATGGAAATATGATCATATAATAGTTCTTGCACTAAAGATCCTCTTCGAAATACGATCATGTAATATTTCTTCGTATTTTTTCGAACTACTGCAGTCTTTGTAGGGTTAGTAGAGATACTGCCTCTCCCAGAGTATGCACTTCTCTAGTTTTAGATTTAACCCTGCCATTCCTACTGCTGCAGCACCATGGTTAGGTTTATGGTAGCAGGCTCGAACTTAAGGCCAAATACCAAGACATCATCAGGATAGACCAGACATCACCTCTTTTGCAATCCTTTAAGAGTAAGCTTCATTGCTCTGCTGAAAGTGGTGGAAGCATTACACAGGCCAAATGGTATGACTCAGAACTCGTACAAATGATCTCAGTTGCTGAAAGCAAGTTTGGCACTTCTCACGTTATTCACCTAGACTTTCCAGAGGACCGGTTTTTAAAGTGCTGAACCATTGTACATGCTGTCCTGACAATCACTACTTGAAATGACCACACACTCTCTGAAGACTGTATGATTCTATCATTTAACATCCACTGTATCTCTGCGCTGGCTATATCTCTAGTGTTCCAGGGAAGCCTGTTAATTGGACGTGAGGACTAGTTTAAAGTGCTGAACCGATGTTCATGCTGTCCTAACAGTCACTACTTGAAATGACTACACACCCTCTGAAGACTGTATGATTTTGTCATTTAACATCCACTGTATCTCTGCACTGGCTATATAGCTAGTGTTCCAGGGAAGCCTGTTAATTGGAAGTGCATCATCTGTTTTTATCTGATGGCGTGTGATGTGGATTTACCCAATTGGCCATCGGATCTCACAACAGCAAATTTAGCCAACAGTTCACTAAGAATCTGCTGCTGTGTTTAATTCAGATTGCTTGCACAGTCTTTAACCAATATTATCACTAGTATCAGTTATCTTCACTTCACTTGCCATTCCAGTAGCGATTCCAGTGGGAGTCTGGACAAATCACCATCCATTTTAAGCATATTTTAGGTATTCGCTGAATGACTGCATTACATTGTCCCGACACACTCAACATATATACATGGAAGTACCGTGACTCCCTCTGTGATGTAATCATGCAGTCCACTGTTCCTGGGTCCATTCTGGCTAGCATCATATGGTTTTCCCACATAAACAAAGCTTACCTCTTGCACAGGCAAAACTGACAGATAGTTTCTGCAGTATGTCCATCTCTAGAATGCCAAAATCAAGATCTGCAATGATTACCTTCATCTTGTGATTCACAGTGCCAATATATAGTCAGAGATGTGCTTCTCTAGTCACAACTAGCATTTTGACATTTGTCAAAATGAAGTTAGTGTTAACTGACCAGAGTGGTGGCTTCACTCAGAGTTTCTGATAAATGGTGGTATCTGCCAGGGTTCTTGCAACTCTTTTATCTCTACAGGTATGCACTAATTTCCACTCAACCTTGAGAGAGTTGGGTGGAACACCAAACAATTTGGCGCAAGATAAATGCTGCACTTTCCTAAGTAAGTGACCAGAACCGACTCAGGCCCTGTTAGATTTCCAGAGCCAGATCAGCAGTAGTTGTAATTTACTGTTGTATCTTCTGTGCAGTTAGTCCAGACAAGCTACTTTACCTAACTTGCTTTCCATTAAGCTGTGACTGTTCTCTCTAAAGTGATCCTGCTGTAAATAACCAAAAGATATGAATTGGTCATTCCTTCTGGAGAAACGCCGGAGTAGAGACATACTTAGCATCAGTTGTGGCACCAACATCATGGGATGGCCAAGGAACCTTCAACCATTCACTGGAAAACAGTGGAGTTGTACTGCATTACCAGGTTGTGTCAGCTGCTGGTTTGCTCTTGGGGCACCCACTTGAACAGAATGATATATGTTAGGTATAATTACTACAGCTGCTGCTGTGGGTTTTTCTATTCCTGAAACACGTTCTAAGTCACGACTTCAAACTTAATCATCACAGAAAACAACTCTGTTAAGACGAGAATATATCATACCTCAAGTGGTCCCTCGATATCTCACTTGGTATCCCTTGTATGAATGATGTCTGTAGATGCCATTGCATACTATACCTTCGCATGCAATTGGCACACATCATTGATGTAGCACTCAAACACTTTCTTTGAGCCTTGAGCATGGCCAGATGGACAGCTCAGTTTTACACTGTGTTGAAATGTCAGTAATCTGTCTAAAGTCTTCCATGTCCGTATTCTTAAACACTGGAGAGATATCTGCTTTACCTCTATCACAGTTGCCTAGAGTATTGTCATAAATCTCTCCCCTGGGGGTACAGAAGAATGACCTTGTACTGGGACCCTTACACTCAGTCAAGTGTTAGATCCCGACTACTGGGTTGCAGAATAGTAAGTTACTGGAAGCATTTTGCAGTTTTTTCATCAGCTCTGAACAACCACAGGTCTCTTTGTGACCTGGAGTCAACCTGATAGTATATTTCTCATCAATGAATAGGGTTATTTCTTATCTTTGACATTTCGCATGAAGCACTTATTAGATGTGAAACTGTTTTTAAATTAATTAAGATCTCATGAGAGTCTCGCAACGTATCGTGCTACTCACGTGTGTACTACTTCATTTTGTGCACGCCTCTTGTTTGTGAAGCAAGCATTAAAGTGGAACTGATAGCTGAGAACTACTATAGGCAATTACAATTGTTGTTATTAAGATTGAGCTCGTTAATAATTTAAATCAATTTCCTGTCTTCACTTTCTCGTCTTTTTAAACGGCCCATAACATTTCGGCTTGAACCATACCCATTATAAAATAAAGAAATCCACGCCCCCCAGTGGTACAGCGGTATGTATGCGGACTTACAACGCTAGAAACCGGGTTTCGATACCCGTGGTGGGCAGAGCACAGATAGTCCATTGTGTAGCTTTGTGCTTAAATTCAAACAAAAAAATGCGCTATCTAACCACCCCGGCAGTGGCACTTATCCTCGGTACACACTTTAAATCACACTCCCCCTCATTATTGAAGTATTGTGGGGAAAAAATACCCCATATTTCTGCAATTTCATGGATTTTACTGCACTAAAAAACCACCCCTTTTCGTAATTTCTAGGATTTGTTGTTGAAAATCGAACACTGGTTACAACTGTATATATTTTACCGTTCATTGTATAATTATACAGTAGGTTAACAGTAATCTCGACTTACAATTTATGTTTAAATGTTAAGATAAAAAAAAAGATGTTCCTATAGACATTTGCTTACCTGTTCATTATATACTGAACTGAAAAGTAACAAAACAAGACGCCATTCGCCACCTAAAACACACCATATTCTATGAATTCGCAGATTTTGGTGAAAAACTCTCTCTAAGTCTCTTTTTTTAAGTTCGGGAACCGGGATTGTTTTTGTTTCTGCCATTTTTCGTCATGCTCAGGCGTAGAGTACAACTGCTAGAATCTAATCTGTATCATGACGGACTTTTCAAAGTTACAGGGTATTTACTGCTTGTGAACGATTTTCACTTTTAAAGTTTCGTAGATGTCTTTTTCAGTTTTCATTATAACTGTTGTTAAATTTTAAACATAATTTTAATTTGGCCGTTTATAAAAGAAGCTGAAAACCATGCAAGTAAATGTGTAACTAATCTTTTCCGGTAAACATTGGAAGTAATAGCCTTTATATGAAACCTATATAATGTCCTCCTTTTAAAATTTCAAACTATAAATATTTCAACTTGTACATGTTATGAAAGTTGAATACAAGATACATTATATGTGTGTGTGTGTGTATTGTTCAACTGTTAATTTGAGTCCCAGTTTGGGACCTGTGGTATGAGTAGTTGTTGAAAAGTAATCCGCACAGTATGGCCGCAGCCAGCTATGGGGTCACCGAGGTCCACACCTTGGTTAAATTAAATGTAACCTTTTTAAACCCACGTGGAAAAGGGGTACAATATGTAAGGCTGACCCTATGTCCTTGTCAGTGTTTGGACCTCTGGTCAATTTTAACTCAAGTTATGGCCGTGGTACACAGTCATGTCATCATTGTTAACACGTACTAATAAACTTGGTGTTCCGAAAATTGTTTAATCTCGAAGTTCAAGGGAGGTTCAGTGGCCAATAACACTTTTTCGTCACCCATTCAGTGTATAGGTTTTTCTCGTGGTGACCACAAAGCACGTTCACACCAACAGTATGTTTGTTTTTTGGTGTTTTCTAAGTGCAAATAGAAATACGCCCTTATTATCGTGCTTATTTATAGTTTCGTATTAGGGGGATTCCGAGTACTGATCACTCTTTTATTGTTGGTGTATTTCCAGACCTTCGCCCAGAAACTTGTCGACGCCGATCGGGCTTCCTTGTTCCTTGTTGATGGAAACACCAAGGAAATGTACGCTCGAATGTTTGATGTGAATGAAGAAGCAGAAAACGCAGATAAAACAGGTGATGAAGCAACATCAAAAGAGATAAGGCAAGTAAATAGGTGTACGTAAAACAACAGGTTTTTAACCTTTGTTTACTACACTCACAGAGCAGAGACATTAACGTTCGGACTTGTTCAAATTCGATAACCTAGTATAAAAGATCCAGAAGTCTACGCATGCCTATTAATAATCGGTATATAAGTTTCAACTGAAATTAACTAACAACTGAGTCTTGGAAATTAATATTTCCATAAGATATTCTCGTGTTTCACACGTAAAAATATCCTTAATTTTGAAACGCCTGAACAAGTGTGTATACTCCACACACACACACATATAGGGATTGACAATTTGGATAATATGCAAAAAAACAACAACATTTATCACTGACTTAGACTGGGTTCTGGGAATTCCACCCCTCGTCCGTAATTCTCCGGGTATTACTAGTTTAAAGATAAGAATTTGAAATTTATAAAATATTCTGGTAAAATTTATTCTGATGTATACATTAGATGAATTTTTGTGTGCTCACTTTTATTTATTTTTTGTTGTTAAGCACAAAGTTACACAATGGGCTATCTGTACCGTTATAAGCCTTGAGACTTACCACCGAGTTCTGAGGAACGTGTGCTTATTTGAATGGATTGTAGTTAATTCTAGTTTAATGGTTTCAACTAATTAAAATGACAAGAACACAGAACCAGAAAAGGATATTTTTAAATTAAGAGTAGTAATATAATCACCTCATGAGGTAGAAGTTTTTGCGAAAAAAAAAATATCGCTTTAGATAAATGTAACATCTGTATCTAAAATTTACAGATTTCCAGTTGGAACGGGAATTGCTGGGTTTGTTGCTCAAACCGGAGAGTCTCTAAACATTCCAGATGTTTATAACGACGATAGGTTTAACAGGTGAGCTCTGGGAATATGGATGTGGTTGTTCTTTTACTATTATATACGTGTTTTAGATGTGAAAAACTAGAATAGCAGTTTGAGTTATAAATACAGATTGTAGTGAGAAGCTAATTTAATATTATTATATATCTTGTGTTTGAAGTGGCTAGATTCTAATGTGAACAGAATATAAAAGATGTACATTTATGGTCAATCTTGTTATTGTTTTGGACAGGTCCGTCGACCAGCTCACGGGTTATACAACTAAAAATCTATTGTGTATGCCTATTTTTATTCGCAACAGGTAAGTGTCTTAGTTTCGTTCTTTAATTCTAAAACTAATAAAGTCGAAACTTTCGAATTTGTTTTTCAATTAAACTTAGAGGCCTAACTTCCCTGGACTTCCAATAAAATCCCCCCCCCCCTCCTTGAAATCTGTGTGTATGTGTTATTGTTGTGTTTTAATTCAGAGTTGTATATATTAGCTGGAATAAATATACGTACTGTGAATAATTTTAATATTATGAAATTCAATACTGTTACCAAACATTATAATGAATATTTCTCAAAGTTCTTAGGATTTATTTCTCACTAAGTTTCACTTTTTTTTACAGTTTTAATTCTCAAGGGCTAGTAGAATGGGTACTGTAATTTAAATTTGTCTTTTTCAAAGTAATATTTCCATAACTTGATAATTCTGTAGATGTTAATATCACTCTATAATGAATTTGGAATATTGGTTTGAATGTATTTTATAGTTTTAGATTTGGATTTCAATACGCAAAACGTTTTCATGTTTATGGGTTTTAAAAATATTATTATATTTCTAAGCATAATTTCCCAAAAATTGTACTGGACAATATTGCTTACGCCTAAAATATAACTGATATAACCAGCCACGGTTTCTCTATACTTTCTAAACAGTGCTTATATTTCAGATGACGGAAACATATAAGTTAGCATGTAAGATATTCACTGTGTCATTTCCAGGGTTATTGGAGTTGTCCAGATGGTAAATAAAGAGAGCGGTTCTTTTACTAAAGGAGACGAAGAAGCTTTCGCTACTTTCGCTACCTATTGCGGCTTAGCATTACATCATGCCAAGGTAAAAATTTCTCTCTTGAATGGTTGCAAAAGCTAGCTGAGGTTGGTAAATATGAATTGATTTAATTTCTGTTCTTCTAAAAATTACTTCTAAAGTTCTTTATATAATTTACTTTGCTTGAAAGCCTGGTAATAACTTTGAGAAATTGTTTTAACAAACTTCAGTGTAGTTAAAAAAACAAGCATAACAATGGTATTCTGGGAGTATGATGACGTATTAAGGTTTTTTTCCAGCTTTATGAAAGAATTCGGCGGTCCCAGAAGAAGTATATGGTAGCATTAGAAATGCTTTCTTACCACAGCATTTGTTCTGAAGAGGAAGTTAGTTTCGTTAAGGATAAACCAATCTTTCAAGACTTCACTAAATTGGAAGAGTAAGCAAGGTTCTGAAATGTTTCATCACAGATTCTTAACTAACATTTTATCACAATATATATAATACTACGTAATCTTATGTTACATTTAATGTTTTTCGTACACTTTTTCATTCAAAGTGTAGCCTTTTTAGAGTGACATATATATAGTATTATTTGAAGTTATATTTGGTTGGTGTTAAAAAATTCTCTTTGTTTGTTTGTTTGTTTGTTTTGTGTTTTCTTCGTTTTCGCGTGCTTAAAGTAAAACTTTACGCATAACAAATATGAAAGATCAACAACTCCAAATAATATTTTAAGCTAATTTTGCCTCAACTCGGAATATCTTTCTAGGTTTACTTTCCCAAGTTATTCCTTGGATTCTGATGAAAAGGTTAAAGCCACTGTATACATGTTCAACGACTTGTTCGGATCTCAAAAGTAAGTTGTAGATTTGCTAAGTAATAACGCAGGGTCCTCGAAAGTGTTCTGTTTCAAGAGTAAATAAAACCAAAATTAAGAGTAACAGACATTTTATTTCTTGCTTTTGAAGTTATGTCACCATGTGTTGTAGCCTATAGAGTGCATAATTCTTCTCGTGATTCTTCGCATGCGCACGTTTTACTGACGTCACGACAGTAGAAATTGCAACATTAAGCATCCCTAATGTGACGTCATTTTAGTGTCTACTGACTGACTGACAGACAACACACTACTGTATAGTGGAGCAACTAGTTAACACAGGTGACTCCTCCAGGCGGCCATTGGCCCCCTTTCGGGGAAATAATTCTATGTTAATTTATTATGTATTAGATAGTTAAAAAGATAAATTTTTGTTTTGTTTGACGTAATGTAAATGTTAACGAACAATAGCTACATGTGTAGAAATATTGAAATGAATACACAGTTTATAATATATTGTTATTCCTTTAGTTATTTCAGCTAGTGTAACATTTATTTTGTTATCGGTATTTTGATGGCTCTACGGTTAAATATTTGGGTTTATGACAACAATATTTTCATTAGTTCAAATATGTGTTGCACGCAGTTATGTGATGATGCCCTCCGTCGGTGGCTCAGCGGTAGATCTGAAGGCTTATAGCGCTAAATATTGGGTTTCGATACCCACGATGTACATATCACAGTTAGCCCATTAACAACAAAGAAACAAAACATGTTGAGATATGAGACAATAACACAAACAGTGCTTTTAACGCCGCTACAGCTTACCCAGCTTTCCTGATTATCCACGCGACTAGACATACTATACACTGGTGATGATATCCTATCATTCGTATTCGTGACCCAAAGGATATCCCTAAAACATTCAGTCCAAAGTGATGTGAAATACATAAAAGTAATTATTAATTTTTATGTCATCATTATTTATAATGACACAGCAAGTTATATAGTGACATAATTTTTATATATCATCATTATTTGTAATGACATAGCAAGTTATATAGTTACATAATTTTTTATATATCATCATTATTTGTAATGACACAGCAAGTTATACAGTGACATACTTTTATATATCATTATTATTTATAATGACACAGCAAGTTATATAGTGACATAATTTTTATATATCATCATTATTTGTAATGACATGGCAAGTTATATAGTGACATAATTTTTATATATCATCATTATTTATAATGACACAGCAAGTTATATAGTGACATAATTTTTATATATCATCATTATTTGAAATGACATAGCAAGTTATATAGTGACATGGTTCAGAAACCCAATATATTCCTACTAGTTCTCTGGCGAGTCAGTGGTAAGTTTACGAACGCATAACGCAAATATCCGTGGTTCGATTTCCCGCTGTGAACAGAATGCACGTAGCCCATTGTGTAGCTTTCCATTTAAACTACCACAACAGACTTCTACTAGAGCAACCACAATGTTTCGTGATGTTGATGTAACCTTCTCTTTGTGATACGTTTACTGTTTGTTTTTTTTCAGTTCTTTAACTGTACTTATACTTTACGTTAATTTTCACTTTTAATTATTTGTGGCTATCATATTTGCCATTTAGTTATTTTAATATCCGTAGTGGGCATAGAACAGATAGCCCATTGTGTAAATTTGCGCTTAACAACAACGAAATTAAAGCGTCTGGAGACATATTCGTTATCAAACTATTTATAACATGAAGTTCGTGTATTTAAATATCAAATAATATTGCAACATAAGATTATTCAGCTGAGCTGAAATTGATATGGTTGAAGTCTTTGATTTTGGGGTAAGCTGTAAGTTTGAAATAGTTATCTCTACAGTGGTGTTAATTTGAACATATTTGTCATTACTTGCTACGCTCGATTGATGTACTTATACTGTGTTACCAAGGGTCCACGGTTCACGTCCCGTTGCCTCAAAAACGCGATGCGGACTTCGGTTAGATTAGAGACGGCTATGCGCAGATAGTCCTTGTGTAACTTTGCGCGAACTTTTTAAACAAACATTCTCAGGCCAATCAAGGTAATGTATAAGATGATTCAAACCGAAAGAAATGCACAAATGATTTAATAGGAAAAAGATTAAGGTGGGGAAAATCGGAAAACAGCATTGGACGCTGATGATGCAATATTTTTACCTTTCAAAACGTGCATATTTATTTACACAACGATGTCCGCCAGGAGCGTCACAAACGTGGGATTTAGTAATTTATCATTTAACAGTTATTATAGGACTATTCACATCAGCTATTATTTTCGTTTTTACTTGTGTAACTAGTATTATTTTTAATTATTTTTTGTTAGTAACGTTTATCTAATAAAGAACCTCTTCTCAACACAAATAAAACTTTAGTCACTCATTAAGAGTTATTTTTATTGCTTTAAATGTACCATATCAACACAGAAGGTGCAGCACACGGCAGGCATCATAACATTTATATGCTTTTCTGAAATGTCCTTATATTGCTTCAAACAGTTCTCTGCTTATAGACTACAGAACCTGTATTTCAGTGTTGGCGAGCCAGACTGTGAATCCGAAGTTTTATTATTCTCGACCCATTTCCATACACAAAAAAGTCGTATTCCACACTTTAGTGTTGGGTGATTTATAAGAGTGACAGTCAGATTCCACTATTTGGTCTGACACTGTTCTTTACCATTTCAAAATTAGGGATGGCTAGCGCAGATAGCCCTTATTTGAATAACATTTATGCTATGGAAATAAATAAACATCTGGATTATCTGCTTATAAAGGTCGATGATAATAACTTTAACCTTGGAACGTTTTGATGTGATTTCCAGCTCCTGTTAGGGTTGTATTCTTTTTCGCTATTTAACTTGTGGGTTTGTTGCATATAGCTGTCAACGTAGGTATCCAACTTGTGGGTTTGTTGCATATAGCTGTCAACGTAGGTATCCAACTTGTGGGTTTGTTGCATATAGCTATCAACTTAGGTATCCAACTTGTGGGTTTGTTGCATATAGCTATCAACGTAGGTACCCAACTTGTGGGTTTGTTGCATATAGCTAACAACGTAGGTACCCAACTTGTGGGTTTGTTGCATATAGCTGTCAACGTAGGTATCCAACTTGTGGGTTTGTTGCATATAGCTGTCAACGTAGGTATCCAACTTGTGGGTTTGTTGCATATAGCTATCAACGTAGGTATCCAACTTGTGGGTTTGTTGCATATAGCTATCAACGTAGGTACCCAACTTGTGGGTTTGTTGCATATAGCTATCAAAGTAGGTATCCAACTTGTGGGTTTGTTGCATATAGCTATCAACGTAGGTACCCAACTTGTGGGTTTGTTGCATATAGCTAACAACGTAGGTACCCAACTTGTGGGTTTGTTGCATATAGCTTACAATGTAGGTACCCAACTTGTGGGTTTGTTGCATATAGCTAACAACGTAGGTACCCAACTTGTGGGTTTGTTGCATATAGCTATCAACGTAGGTACCCAACTTGTGGGTTTGTTGCATATAGCTTACAATGTAGGTACCCAACTTGTGGGTTTGTTGCATATAGCTATCAACGTAGGTACCCAACTTGTGGGTTTGTTGTATATAGCTTACAACGTAGGTACCCAACTTGTGGGTTTGTTGCATATAGCTTACAATGTAGGTACCCAACTGATAAACCAATGCATTTGAATCACTGTAAGTAAGAATGATACATCAAGTTAGCTATATTAATTCGAGGGTTAATTTGTATTTCTTATCTACGTATAGGTTACTTGCTTTGATAAGAAGTTAATGATCATAGAATTATTATTTATAATATTTTTATTCATGTGGTCCTGAGTCGAAATAAGGGTTCTCGTAAAACTGAATTTTTGCTGATTCACAGGTTTGACCAAGACTGTCTGATCAGGTTTATTATAACAGTTCGCAAGAACTACCGTCGTGTACCCTATCACAATTGGACTCATGGTTTCTCCGTGGCTAACGCCATGTACGCAGTCATAAAATCATCTCCTACGATATATAAACCGATGGAAGTAAGAAAAAAAAAAACGTTTCATTATAATATTTATGTCTTCAACACTTACATTTCTCAACAAATATCAAAGAGTTTCGAAGATTTGGAGTCTTGAGAATAAAATCAACTTTAATTATCAAAATATTTATGTGTTTTCAATCTTTGTTATCGTTAAGCCTATTTAAGATTCTTTGTCATAACTGTCAACCATTTTCGTACTTTTTCTAATTCTATTGTTAAGTTACTTTATATAGTGACTTATTTTATTAGCCCTCCCCCCTAAAAATAAGACAATTCTGTTAATTATTGATTTCATTACTTAAAATCAGAATCAATATAATCACTCTTACAAAACATAAAGTTGATTTATTTCTTACTCTGTCGTAGTAATGTATCTGTTCATATACTGAGTTATAATTTCTGTCGACTTTGTAGCAATTGGCCTTATTTGTAGCTAGTCTGTGCCACGACATAGATCACAGAGGAAAGAACAACCAGTTTCTAATGCAGTCGGAATCTCCATTAGCAGCTATTTACTCCACCTCAATTCTAGAGCATCACCATTTTAATCAGACGGTTTCTATTCTTCAGGTAAAAGACGTGTGGTTTAGACAGTTTGCTTCTACCCAGCTTTAGTTCTCTTTCTTTAACTTGCTATTCTTTTCTCCTCTGACATAAACCTTAAAGGTCATATGCATAATAAACGTATTTCGTTTTTGATTATTTTGAAACTAACAAAATGTTCATCACTCAGTGCATTGTTTATTGAACATGTTCAGTGTCAAAACTTCGACTCTATTTATGGTTATTGTAGGTGTGCCTAAACTTGAAATATGTAGAACACCATACTATTGGAAACAAAGACGAAGAAATTATTCCATAAAGGAACTACAGATTAGATTTTATTAAAGACAAATATTTAAAATTAAAACTTTCTGTAGGTATGAAAACACAGAAACTAAATAGACGCAGTATAATTATATTTCTAAAAAACATATAGCTAATACCACTGTATATTTTACTAGGTTTATTGTATTGAATAAATTTTACTCTTTGAATGCTGGGTAGAGTAAGTGGTTCAGTTAATATAAGACACATGGACTGATTTGGCTTCTTTTGCTTCAATAATTAAAGTATCAATGTTTTTTTAGATCTCCAAAGTAATTTTTATTTCAGTTAATTTACATTTTCATGATCAAAGTCTTCTCCCCTTCATTTGCAGTATGCCTGATTTTACAAGAAGCTAAGTTGGTTTTTTTTGTAACTCTTAATTAATGATAACTAAGGTTTCTTTCTCCCTCTACTTCCGAATAAGATAGCTCCACCTATCGAAAGAGCTAGGGTTTCATCGTGTTTCTTCGAACTTAATTTAACTATGACTGTACATAAAACGTTATTAATATCATTTAAGCAATGCTTGTACGTTCAAAACAAACGTGAAAGTGATTTCGATTGTTTACCAGAAACCTTTAATTTTTTATGTCTATACGAGTGTTATTTCTTCTACTTTACAGCAAGATGGACACAATATATTTGCAAGCTTAAGTTCTGAAAACTACAGGAAGGTAAATTGTATCGGAGTTATTTTAATTATAGTCTTAGAAGAATTATTTACCGATATAATTACTGTAAAATGGTGAAATTAATTAGAAACACCGAATACCTTGATGTTTTCAAGAATTACGTAAATACGTCGTAATGAAGAGATTTACTATAAGAGAAATGTAAAATAAGAAAATAAAGTAAAACTAAGGCACGAGTAAAGTATTTTTTTTAAATTCTAAGAAGTCATTATAGAAATGAAAAATTAAAACTAAAAAAATTACAATAAAATTGTAAGTAAATTTGTAAGTACCTTAGTATGTAAATAAAATGCTAGAGGTTAATATCAATTAATATTTTGTTTTATCTTTAACTATATGGATAGAGAGATAAGAGAATCCTATTGGATTGAAGTTTTAAATACTGTTCAACCTTGTGGAATAAATCTAGATCCTGGGATCAGTGACTTCAGACCATTAGTTTGTTCTCTGTCAGAAAATTCAAGTTTTTTTTTGTTCATGTAGTATGAATTTTCAATCTTTACCCCTAATACTTATTAATTATTTATGATAATTTTCGGGTTATTTTTTAATTATATCTGTCTAACATTCCTTTTTTAATCAATATTAATATCTCACTTATATTTTACTTTATTTAAACTCGGTGTAGTTTCTCTTGACTTTTTCTTTTTAAAAAAATACATTTCTACCATTCTTATTTCTGGTAGTATTGCACCGGAAGTGAGAAACACTTATAACAATACATTGAAAGCTAATGCAAACACTTCCGGATTTCCATGGTACCGTGCATGACGTCACACAAACTTGACTTTTATCTCACAGTTTGCCCCTGAAGAAGAAAGATCCACCTTTCGAAAACGCTCGGGTTATAATATATAGTATTTTTGGTTAGTTACAAACACATTTATAGCTGTAGGATACCACACAAAATGTTTTATTTTTCAACAAGTGAAAAAATTAACGTGTTATTACATTTAAATCAGGTTAAACAACCAGGGGAATTTAGCAAAACGACAAACTAACCCTACGCCATAACCAGAGTAAAAATTTAAATACAAAAGGAATATTAAATCATAATATTATTAACATCATATGAGCTTCTTTGATTATAGAATATTAAGTCAGATTATTCTGAAATTATCAAAATTATTGATAGGTTTATTTATATTTATAAAACCTTTCAACGAATGGTTATATAGTGAACACTGTTACTCTTGTTTGAGACCTGTATTGTGTATTGATCAATAAATCAGTAATTGTTTAGTGACTAACATAGAGTTCAGTTAGTACCAGGAAACTTTATTTGTTCGTAATTCACCAAATTTCAGGGCTACGTCTGTTAGTACTTTTACATTTTTCAGTTGTAGCAGTAATCGACAGAGTTGGTTAAGCAAATGGCCGTAACGTGCACACAAAAAAAGTGTTTGTAATGGTGAAACCGATGTTATAAGCATATGCTAGACAACCTATAGGACGAAGTTTTCAAAATTTACAACTTTTGTGAATTATTTGGTACATTTGTGACATAAATAACCAAATTTCAGTTCCACTGCAGCTATTCTTCTTTTGAGCTGTGTTAAAAAAATTGGTAGCACAGTTGAAGTATTCCAATAACTGTTTGATAAAATAATCATGTCTTAATGGTGACTTCATAAACAGCGGTAAATAGCAGTAAAATCAAACTGGTTTTCTAAAGAGTTTAATAAGCTGTCCAAAGAACGTCAACAATCTGTTGTTCGTTCTTTTACACCTAGCTAGCACCAAATGTCTTCGTAATTACTATAATTGGTATATAATCGTAATATTCATCAATTCATTAACCCCAACTTTTAGTTGATAACATTCGTTGATTTCTTTTACAAAGGCTCTACTCTGATAGTAAGACAGGTTATTTCAAACCAGTTCTGATTTAAGGCTACAAAGAATTACAGTCGCGGTTCGAAGACAGATTATTGATTGAGAAATCGAAATAACCGATCACTTATAAGGCAACTTATTACTTTGTTTAACTACTGACAAAATCACATCGTTTTGTGTATGTCTTTAAGGTTGTGCTGTTAAACAAGAAGAAAAAACGTTTTCTTTGAATGTAGTGTATTTTGGCAACAGCTCAAAATTGATATCCTATCGAAAATATTTAGAACTAAATGACATTATACAGAATAACAGTTCATATATTCGAGATCTAAAGTTATGTTATTTTAAAATGTTGACTGTTTAACATAAGAAATATAGCAGTAAGAAGGTTTTTCTACTTTGTGTTATTAATGTACTTATTTAAATAACGCACTAAAATTTTAGTTCGGAAACCAGGCATAGGGGGTGTTGTTTTGCTTCTATTATATGTACAGTGAATATTTCTTAAGTAATACAACAACAACAACAATCTCTCGATCAAAAAGGTCCTGAAAAACATCAAGCACTGCATATTATCAACAGACCTGGCATTGTTTTTCCCCAATAAAGCAAAGCTGAAGACTCTGATTGATGAAGACAGTTTCAGTTGGAAGAATACCGAGCACAGGTATCGTGATAAACTTTTAGCTCTATGTACACCAGAAGACTATTTCTACCAATAACAATTGAATATAAACTTGAGCTTATACCTTTAAATTTGACCGAACAAATATACTTTTTTTTTTCTGTCTTCAAGGTATTTATAAAAACCTTTCTGCTCTTTTACGTATTTATTTAATTAAGTTTCAGTTTATCATGAATTTCGCGCAAAGCTACACGAGGGCTATTTGCGCTAGCCGTCCCTAACTTATCGGTGTAAGACTAGAGGGAAGGCAGCTAGTCATCACCACCTACCGTCAACTCTTGGGCTACTCTTTTACCAACTAATAGTGAGATTGACCGTCACATTATAACGCCCCCACGGCTGAAAGGGCGAGCATGTTTGATGTCACAAGGATTCGAACCCGCGACCCACAGATTGCGAATCGAGCTATACTTTGGGCATTTAATTAAGTACTTCTTTAGACTTGTTCTCCACTTGGTTCATGGTACAAAAAGTCTATCTAGAGACAGTCTTCGGATAATCGGTCAAAACTTGATTAAAACCTTTCAGATTTAAAGAAAAAGACTCGGATTGTCACTTCTACAATAAAGAAGATGCAGACTAGAGTGTACACGTACCACATCTCATGGATCGAGTAATTAATCTAACAAGTAACAAATGGAAACAGGAAAATATGCTGCTTAAGCTTATTTTCAACAAAAACAAATGAAAGTAGGGAATAGGTTCGATTGAATTTTGGAACGAATAGCCGTATCTAACTGTTTAGAGCAATGCCTTCCCTTCTTATCTGGGCCGGGTGTGGTCTAGTGGTTAGCAAAATCGCGCTCCGCACTTTGGGTTTGTTGGTGTGTGATAAAGGTGACGTTCAATTTCCACTATTCGAAGAGTAACCTAAAGGTTGGCGGTAGGTGCTACCGATTAGTTGCCTTCCCTCTAATGCAACAGTTTAATATCAGGAATGGTTGGTGTAGGTAATCTTTGTGTAGTTTTGCGCGAATTTCCTGAAGAAATCCTTCTCATATACATATTTCTTTAAAATAATGCCACATTTTTTCTTTGTACGTGTTTAAAGACAGTTTCTATTAACTTAAATGTTGTATCGACACCACATTTGTTACTGATTTCAGTAGTGAGAGATAGTTAGATTCTTTAGAACTTGTGCTGAACGCTCAATAAGGGGGACGTCCTGTCATCAATAAATATCTGATGAATCCCGTGTTCTGATATTGTGTAAGTATTCTAAGAATGGCTGACATACCCTCTCTCGTATATCTAAGAATGGCTGACATACCCTCTCTCGTATATCTATGAATGGCTGATATACCCTCTCTTGTATATCT